ATATAAGGATATATTAATGTTTGATTATATTTGCAAATTTAATATAAACATGCGATTCTTTTCTTCTAAGTTCATGGTTTTCCGGGCTAAAATATTATTCATAGTGCAATGCAGTGATTTATTTTATGGTTGCCCTGAGGTTGCTAACGCAATTTCAATATGAATATACAGTAAATGTTTTAGCAAAATTGTCTGATCAGTTGTGGTCATGAATTATGCACCTTTGAGATCTTTCTTCATTACTTCTACCACTCCCATTTCAATTGCTTATAATAAATCTTAGATTGGAATATTTTATTTGAATAACATTATCTATACAAAAATATACTGCATAACCTAATGAGGGAATTTTTAATTAAACCCTTAAGTATAGTTTTATACTTAACCGTAGGGAAAAATCTTACAGAAGTATCAGAGCTTCCTTGCCTCAAATCCGCTTGCAGAACAGAGCTTCACATTTCATTTTGAAAACGAACTTTGAAAAGAGGAAATAAAACAAGATATAATATAAGCAAAGGCATGTGTGCATAAATATAGATATAGACAAATAAATCAATGCAGATAGATAGATTGATTGATACACACATATTTATGTATACAATGTATAGATGTGTGTGTGTATGTGTGTGTGTATGTGTGTGTGTGCGCGCGCGCGCGTGTGTGTGTGTGTGTGTAGATATATGTGTGTATTTTGTGTAGCATCCCGAATCTCCTAACATCTATGATGTTGCCTCGTGGTACAAAACACAGTATCATCGAAAGAGAATTATTCTTAATTTCATATAAAAAAGTCAATGCAAAGTCATTCAAGTATTTTATTTGTTGGTGGAATTTTAATTACGTGCAAAATAAAGAGTACCTGACTAATTTATATTCACCACTCTTCGATTTGCTAGACTGTGGAAACTGAAATGCATTTCTCTGATTTAGACAACACATTTTTTTAAACTATATACAGTGTTCATATGCCAAGTGGAAATTGCTTATAGTTTTGCATCTTTTCGTATCCACGTCCGAAATTGGATAGTTCCAACGATCACAGGCTCTGTAATATCAACAAATGAAGATGCACAGCTTTGACTTTGATCTCTTTGAGCTTGTAAGGTTTTATCACTGAGGTACAGAATGATTGAAGATATTCATCCAGTCGAAGTCAGTACCATGTCATATGACTCGGACACATATGAAATTCTTATCATGTGGGTCCAGCGATCGAAATGATTGACATGACTTGAAATTGAACATGAATCTGATGCGCTGTTAAAAAGGCAAATAAACATATTGTGCAACTTTATATAAGAATAAGTTTGTGTGCGTGTACAAATTTATATATCTGCATGTACATTTACAGTATGTGTGTGTGTGTGTGTGTGTGTGTGTGTGTGTGTGTAGTAGAACAACGAGGGAAAGTACAGGAAAACATGTGGCCAGGAGTGAATCCAGATTGCTCCTGTCTCTGGTGCCTTAGTAGGTGGTCACGGATCCGTTTCAGAAGAATGTGGGCGAAAACCTTGCCTGGTATATTGAGCAGTGTAATGCCACGGTAGTTGCTACAGTCCCAACGATCCCCTTTCCCCTTCCAGAGAGGGATGACCATGCCCCTCAACAGGTCAGGGGGAATGGTACCAGACCGCCAGATGGCAGTCAAGGCCGCATGCCAGCCCCGTGCCATAGGTTCATCCCCAGCCTTTAGCAGTTCAGCTGGGATGCCACATACACCTGCGGCTTTCCCACTCTTCAGCTTGGAAATAGTTTTGAAGTGTACCCGTAGGGTAGCCACTACCAGCCTATGGTCACTGCCACAGAACTCGGTACTCCGGTAACCCTGCTGACAAGGATGTGGTCGATCTCCTTAGCCACACACCCGTATCATGTCCAGCGATGTGAGTTGGAGCGCTGATACCAGGAGCCAGAAATCCTCATTCTCTGGGACCGAGCAAACTCTTGCTGCCGGGATCAGCTCCCGAGCCGTGGGGGCGACAGACATCTCGTGGCCTGCTCGATCACAGCCGGATACCGCACTGAAGTCGCCCAGAACAATATGAATGTCACCGAATGCCACTGCTGTGAGTTTGGCCTCTTTCACATTGAGTTTGCAAACATCAGTAGGGGCATACACAGCAATAAGAGCATGAACACGAAGCATGGAGCATACACAGCAATAAAAGCATGAACACCCATATATATACATGTATATTTATTTATTTATTTAAATATGTGTGTGCGTTGTTCTCATACTTTCCGTAAGAAATCTTAATTATTTAATAAGCAATCAATTACAGGATATTTCTAACACTCTTTAATTCGAGAAATGAGTTACCTCATGAGCAATTGATTGTTATGGAATGTATTTATCATTCATTCAATATTATCGGTGGGATTGAAATGTTACTTGGATATCATATTTTTTTCTAGCTTTTATTCTCGTCTTTTGAGAAGGGAAACTGGCAGATATAAATGGAAAGAATAGCAAAATAAATTCATTAATTATTTGTTATTAATTTAGCACTCAATACATATTTATCAAAGAATGATGCCCTGTATGTGCAGCTTTACACAACCACCTTGCGTAATACGGGTTAATCCTCTCACTATATCGTAGCACAGTAGTTCACTTACAGAGAGTCATTTCACTGTCCAAACTCGCATATTTTCTTGCTGAAGTTTTATTTCTTAAGTCTTATCTGTTCAGTACTTTGATAGTTTATGACATGTATCAGAGGAAATTAGTTTCTGCAGGAAATAGCGCACCAATTTGGTCTATGTATCACTGATCTGTAAACAGGCTTGTTAGACCTAAGGCACATGCTACGTTATCTTAGCTTCACTTTGACATCATTTTATGTTTAAAGGTTTACTTCTGCTTTTTTCCGTCTGAAAAATATATATATATTTTCTTGTCATATATTGATATTGGAAATGAACTGTTGTTTAACATTTTTTTGTTCTGTAATAAGCATAAGGATTGTCTCGATTTACTGAATGATACTGTAACACGCACATAAGTACACGCACACAGAAACACATGTATAAGTATGTATACATGTGCATATGTATATGCATAATGTTTAAAGATTTACTAGACCATATACATTCATATCATCTATCTACCTGCCTGCATACAATCACAAAGGTAGAGCCGTGAGCACATGGGGCAATAATCAAACCCTCCATCGTTTCTCGCTGAAACTGAACCGCTTTCCACAAACCGTTTCGCCGCAGCACAACCTCCCGATTGACCTGATGAACGAATGGAAGGAAATCAATGGCGCTTCCAAATTGCACTTCACTTACTAAATTATAGGTGGGTATTTAGATTCATGGGAAACTTTTCTATCTATTTACCTATCTATATCTGTTCATATCTATAACTCCCTATCTAACTATCTATCGATCTGTCTGTCTGTCTGTCCATCTCTGTCCATCTAAGCCCGGAGATAATAATTTCCGAAAGCGCAGTATTTCGAACGAGGAACACGCGAGTCGCCGGAAGACCGGAAGCGAACTAATCGGAAGCGGCGAGGAAGGGAGGAGGAAGACACGACGCTTTGCTGTTTGTTCTTCTTCTTCCTTGTCCCTTTGATGCGTGACAGCGCCGAAACGTGTGGTTTTCAGTGCCAGATTCCAAGTGTATATATGCCATAAATACATAGCTACATACTTGCATACATGTGTGTGTGTGTATGTGTGTGTGTGTGTGCGTTTGTGTGTATAGATATATAAACACATATATGTATAAATATATATACATATACATACATATATATTATTTGTATATATACATGTATGTATATATGTATATATACATATATATATATATATATATATATATATATATATATATATATATATATATATAGATATATGTGTGTGTGTATGTATGTATGAATATATATATATATATATATATATATATATATATATATATATATATACATACATATCTTTGGCTACAGTTTTCCCCACTTTTACATGGCGTCGCTGTTCCGTCATCGCATTGATTATCTCTTTATCCCGAAGGTCTTTTGATATTCTATCTTTCCACCGAGTTTTTGGTCTTCCCCGTTTCCTCTTGCCCTCGACTTCTATATCCATTATCCTTTTACTCGCAAAATCATCTTTTCTCCTCATTACATGACCATACCACTGTGGTCTTTTTTTCCTATAGTTTCTTTGATATGTCTGCTACCTTTACAGTACCCCTTATGGTCTCGTTTCTATTCCTGTCGTTTTTGGTCACTCCACACATCCACCTAAGCTACTTCTAATTTTCTTTCCTCTTTTTTATTGGCCAAGTCTCTGCCCCATACATCACTGCAGGCCTGACAGCGCTTTCATATAACCTTTCTTTCAGTTTCAAGTTAACTCTCTTATCACACAAGATCCCCGACGTTCTCTAGTTTGCCCGTGCTGATTGGATTCTGGGGTTTAACTCTACATTTATGTCTACATTCCAGCTTCCTCTCAACCCAGCTTTGGCGTACCCACCAAAACAATCTTCCGCAAAAAGCATACTCCTTTACTTCGTTGGCCAATACATTCATTACTAGGTCAAAGAAGTATGGGCTAAGCGCTGACCCAACACTTATCTCTTCTGCAGTCCTACACAGTTTCTTACTTGTGTTGTTACATCCCTGTACGTATCGTTTGCTAAGCTTACATATTTTTCAGCAAATCCTTTTCCCGCATGGGTCTCCATACCTTTTGTCTAGGTACTCGGTCATAAGCCTTCTCTAAGTCTATAAACATTAAGTGTAGATCTTTCTGATTTTCTGCATACGTCTCCATCAGTTTCCGTAATATAAAGATGGCATCTGTCGTACCTTTACCTTGCATAAACCTGAATTGTTGTTCACTAACATCTGTACCTTCTCTTATCCTTGCATCCTGTACTCTCTCAAATAGCTTCATGGTGTACCCCATTAATTTTATCCCCCGGTAGTTTCCGCAATCCTGTAATCTCCTTTGCCCTTATATATTGGAACTAATGTACTTTCCCTCTATATGTCTGGTATCTTCACGTGTTGGTAAATCTTTCGTAAAAGGTCTAATATGATATCTACACCCTCGTCACCCAGGCACTTCCACGCTTCAATTAGGATCTCATCAGGTCCCACGCCTTTCCCATTCTTCATTTTAATTAATGCTTTCTTTACCTCTAAACTTGATAAATCATCTGGCTCTATCTCATTCGGTGTTTCATCGTCTCTAGGGTTTCTAGGATTTTCTTAATTTAATAGGTTACGAAAATACGAAATACGAAAGTACGAAAATATCACTTTCCCTTGTTGGTACACTCCCATTGTTATCTTTAATTTGTATAATATGAACAATGTCTTTAGATGCTTTGTCCCTAGCTTTTGCAATTCTAAAGATGTTTCTCTGTCCCTCTTTGGTCTCCAGATCTTCAAAGAATTTGCTCATTCCTTCTGCCTTTGCCCTTGCTACATCTCTCTTGGCCCTTTTATTTGCCTCTCTACTTTGTTCACTTCCTACTCTAGCAGGGGTTCTTTCAGCTGCTTTCTTCTCGTGTATTATTTCTTGTATCTCCTGTTTCCACCACCAAGTTTCCTTATCATTTGTTGGTTTGTTTCCCGTTGTCTTGCCTAGTACACTGTCGGCTCCTCCAAATATAACTCACTTACATCCTCTCTCAATGGTTATTTCTCTAATCACGTTTTCTTTGAATCTGGTTTTCATTTCGTCCTTTTGTAGCTCCCACCGCTTGATCTTGGGCATTCCCTTTTTTCCTCTTTTTCTTCTTGTAACATAAAGTCTCACACTTTTTGTGTTGTTTGTGTTGGGTGTCTACATTTTCTCCATAAGTTACTTTGCATCCTTGGACTTAAATAAATAATCAATTTGTGACGCCTTCCCTCCATTACTATAAGTTTCGTATCTATGCTTCCTGAAGAAAGTAGGAATTATTGCTAGCGCGTATACTATTGCAAAATCTATGATGCATTCCCCTCTATGTATTCTAGATATAACTCTCTTGCCTGTTCCTATATGGCCATCTAGATCCCTTCCTATGACTAACTTCTCATCCTCGCTGATAGACATAAGCATTTCTTCCTCCTTATAACCTGTCTGTGGCGCATATATATTAACAATGTTAATAATTTCTTCTGCTAAGGCTACTATAACTTTTCCAACCCGATTGTTCACTCTTTTGACTTCAACTACTTTGTTCTTCATAACACTACTAAGGATAACACCTACGTCATTTCTATGAATCTGAGCGTATGTCAGAACTGAGACGTTGAAAGCATTCGGTCATTCTTTTTCTTGCAATCTTTTATGCCACTAGGAGGAAAACCCTTACTTCGAAATGAAAGCGCTTCACGCCGGTAACACGTGCCACGACCATGAACCATGGCTAACCCAGCCGCAAGTTCGCCTCTCAGCCACCGGAGATACACTATGGCAACCGCTTGGGGGTTCAGATGGAGCTCTTGGGAGTCTTACTAACAGTGAAATAGGCATTGTAAAGAAACTTTAATTACCGGTGTTCTATCTTGCTAAAATTCCACACGAACACACACACATATGACTGGCTGTCCAAAGCTTTTCCTCGTCTGATTTCATATTGAGTTAACCTCCTTCGTTCTTCTGTCTTATGCTTTGAGAAGTAGAATCCAGCTAGGCAGAATAAAGAAACGCAGTTCACTGATTTCCATATACGAATATATTCTACTTTGTATACATACATAATGAAACACATTATTGCTTCTTTAGAAAGGTCAGCGTGGGGTCCCCATGTCAATAGCGGGCCAGTCTGTCGAACATTTGGGTTATTTTGTAAAATAAAATCCTGTATTTGCGATTTATAAAGTCACGCGATCATGCCATCGATAATATATTGGTGATGCACAATTTCTAAGTCAGCATTATAATCATTCCGTATTTGTAAACAAGAAATTCGCAACACATATACTAGATTCAGCTGCCAAATATTCAAACCCTCAGCTCTTGCTCCGGTTGACATCAACGTTAGATTATAAACTGATTAAAACTGAACCGGGAATCTATTAACAAATACTTGAATGGATCTGGCAAGTCTGAAATCTTTCAGCCAGTAGTTTACACACATATTTATACATACACACACACGCACGCACACACACGTGCGTGTGTGCATATATATATATGTGTGCTTGTGTGTGTGTGTATAGATAGATAGATGGATAGATAGATAGATAGATATGACTGCCGCGATGGTCCAGTGGTTAGAGCACTGGACTCCGACTTTCATATACCCGAGTTTCCCACCGCTCTGACTGCTGGCTCGAGCCCGATCACGGCGAGAAAACGACATATTGCAAGTCACCGCCGTGGCACAAGTGCGAGCGCACCGAACCAAGGTTGACTAGGAAGGGCATTCAATCAGGCAGCGGTGAGACTGCCAATTAACCTCTTAAATAATGAATTGGGAGAGACCGAGTTCTCGCAGAGGAAGAAATGGCCGTTGAAATATATATATATATATATATATATATATATATATATATATATATATATATATATATATATGTATATATATATATATATATATATATATATATATATATATATATATATATAATATATGTATATATATATGTATACACACACACACACACACACACACACACACACACACACACACACACACACACACATATATATATATATATATATATATATATATATATATATATATATATATATATATATATATATACAGCATGTATTGCATAGATGTATGTAATGCGAGCATGTGTGTGCATATAAACAGCTATATTTGTTGTTTTAGATTACTTGCATTTAATTTGTGGAAACAAACATTTATACAGAAATTTCTCTCTTTGCTATGCATTCAGTTTCCAAGAATATAAGCTAAAACGTTTCTTTCTTCTTTCTTCCCTTTTTTCCACAATATTTTGTCTACCTCTCTCGACGCTACCCTCCCATTTTTTTCGCTCTCCCGCTCGCCTTGCAAGAGGCAAGTTTTTCATAAGGAATTTCCGTAATTTTAAAGTTACGCTTTACATAGCCCCAAGGATCTCTTTACAGTCGATCATACTCAGAATAATTATAATTTCCTCGACCAGAAAAACGACAAGTAACGCTGATTTACTTTAGGTTCAAAGTACTGTGTTAAGAAATAAATTACCAACTTTATGTCATTTAACAGGCAAATTGTCATTGTGTGATGCTGAGCATCCGCCGATATATCATATATTCGAACTTGTTTATATTGTAAAACTAGTATATAGCTGAATACTTAGAATAGTGAAAACAATCAATATCTACAAAAACATACAGACTGCATCGCGATTCCCACAATATCTTATGCATTTATTCGCATATTCATCTACTTTCATTTATCATCTATTGTGTCACGCAGCCCTTCCCTCTCCCTCGTGAAACCCTTGCCGTCTGCATCCCTATTCCCACACTCATCACCCTCTCCTTTCTATGCAGCCTCTTCCACGGCCCTCTCTTCCCCAATCCCGAATCCCTTGTAGCGTTAATCACGAGGCGGCCTCAATAACCATGAATCTGCAGCGTAGATGTGTTTATTCTCCGGCGATGACTCCCGTCCAGACCGGTGGATTTGCGGAGGAGGGGATCATATTCAAAGGGGAGGGTTGGGAGAGGGAGAGGGAGAGGGGGAGGGAGAGCGAGGTCGAAAGGAAAACATTGCAACAGATAGACAGGGGGATAACGATGTAAAATATAGCAATGGAGAGAGATAAACGGAAACAAAGATTGGGAAGGAAAAATGAAGCATCTCTCGCGCCTGTTTTCTCATCTCAATGCTTTGCCCGATTATGTCCTAACGCACATACACACATATGCGGCAAAATATCACAAATCCATTACATTTAAGACATTTGCAATTAATATTTAAAAAATCACAGAAATTACAAACAATAACCTATGTGGTTTGGCGATCAATAATAAAACTAAATATGCAATATATTTACCAAACCATTAAGTT